ATAGTGACACAAGCCTTATGTGCGTAGTCTAATCAAGCGGTAATGACTTGCTACAAAAATCTTATTAATTCCGATTTTGTTTGAGATGGTAGGTGACTTTGTATCTGGTGTTACCAACGACGAACAACTCCCCTTCACGAAGAACTGAATGGTATTGACTGATCTCAAGATGATCCTCACTATCAGCTGTCACCTGGATTTTCAGTAGACTATGAGTAAGTGAAAGCGTTTTTCATAAGAAATTAAATATCCTTGAAAGTAGAAAGACTCAACCGTTTTTAGGACTGAAATGAGTATCTTTAGTTTTCACTGGAGATGTGTTGTTGATGGGCTATTGAGTTGACATTTATTGACAGATGTTCCCATCATCCGATTACCGATCACCTAACTTTTGATGAATCGTTTTAGAAATTCAACTTAGTCAGTTAGACTCAAAGTTAAGCAACTATTGAAGCAAAAAAGAGTCTACTAGGTATGTTGAAGCGTAGCTGTCTGTGTTTAAAATGGTCTGAAACTGGCGAACTCAGACTACTGATTTCAGACCTAGTGTTAAAGCACCTAGCTAAAGCAGCATAAAGTGATATTATCCATTTCCCTTTAAAACCTTGTACAAGTTGAATCAATTTTACGTCCAATACTTACTTATGTCATACGTTACTGGCGAGTGCATTCATTCGGGTACTAACCAAGTTTAACATGTCTCACAAATCAATATTTCCGTAAAAGTCACAAACACTATGTCATATGAAAAACATGTTTTAATACGAAAGCAGAAAACAACAATAGACTATTCGAGAACACGGATGATCGCGACAATAATGAAATAGGAATTTAGATATATCTAGCTGGATTGTTCAAAACCTGTTTAAAATTTTGTTGTATATCACTATGACCGCAACAAATGTTCCACTGTTCAATGGTGGTTTATTGTTAGCAGAGGTTTTCAGTTGAATGTTATATACATGTGAATACAACTAAACACCTACGTGGTATGACTAATGTACATGAAGCATAATTTGCGTGTAGTTAGGTACTGAAATGACAATTTATGACTAATCATGGTTATTATCATTGATGTAATACAGTTTTAATGATTTAGGCTGCCTAGAATTATGGCTAACTTGTTGGCAGAATCACACTTTTGGACAGACAGGCAAATAAAATCAACGTAGAACTTAGCATATAAAAGTGTATTGGTTCAGTCTGTCACACTTCACTGTAGTATGCAAAGAACAAGAGGGTAGTAAAGACTGATTTCAAAGTAGACAAAGGTGTATGGTAGGAGAGGCAATTTAATTTAATTTGGTGGAAATATTCAAGCTTTACAAGACATCAAATAGTGAATACATCTTCGTCATTGTGACCTATATCAACAAAAGTCCCCAACCACTGATTCCCGTCTTTTCTTTCACCCAAGCCAGGCAGTTTACATCTCTTCTCATGACTCAGACCAACGCTCTGGGACCTGACAGACTTGTACCACGTCTTAATCCCGTCTCCGTGGACCCTCTTCCAACCTAATCCAACTTCATCTGGAATGGCACACAGAGGAAGTTGGTAACTGTGAATGCTTGGCGTGTCCAAGGCTCCGTCAGTCTATGAAGACTCGTGGTCTCAACGAATGACTTGTCTTCCTTTCTTAGTATCATTTGACTAATCTCAACATTGCTCATATGGTGATTTCACTACACGTAACCAACGCTGCGAGGACATCTGTTATCAAAAACTTGCATTTTTATAAATTAAAAAGACACCTTCTGATATTTCCGGACCAGTTTGTCTTCTTTTCTCCACCGAGAAGTGACATGAGTCAAGACACTCATGCCCTTAAATGGTTAAAGAGCTGTTACAGAACAGCGAACAGGACAAGGGGATCCTCACTTTGTTGGAGAAGGTGTAAGTCAGTATTTCCCAAGTCAAGGACATATCCGCCGCACTGAGTACAACGTTTGTCAAACAAAGGATGTAAGGAATATGAATCTTTTCAGTTCCAGATCAGGTCTGACCGTGTATCGAAAAGATTTAAATGTTAGAGTTATAAAATGTAAGACTTGTTAATTCTCGACTGTTACAACTAGTTAGGTGTCGTTTTTCAGTCATACGCTTGTCTGGAACAATTTTGACGTTACCACTACATCATAACTACTGAAAGTATTTCATCTGGAAACGAAAAATAACTACATGACTACCAAGAGGAAGCGTGGAAAACACGATTAGGGAATAGAAGAATGAATAAAGTGAGTTTCGAATAACTTTATGTCATGATGAAAGAAAAACTATTTGCTCAGTTTTATAAAGACAGATTAAAAGCGAATTGTCTTTTCCAAGAATCTGTTCCTACTAGCTAATTTATATATCGAAAAAACAATTTCTATAGGGTCGATAATTTTGTCGTCTAGAAATGGTGGAGAATAACTACACCTAATGGTGTGAATTTCCAGAATGAGTTATTTCTTGAACTGGGAATTATTTAATCTAGCAGATGGCGCAAACATCTTCCCGAACGCTTATTCATTTCAGGAATCATATGATTCCATTCTGCTGTTTTGCGGATCTGACCAGAGTTGTGTAATTAAAACCTATCATCAAATTTGATGCGTAGACATCTTAACTCAGTATGCAACTAGGGGGTAATTGATCACATTCTATTTGACCACATCATTCGATCACAAAAAGTAAGAAGGTTGAATTGCCAATTAAAAACTTGGGCACTGTGGTAGGATGTAATTCCATATTAGATTTGTTTATTTGATATACAGCAGTGATGCAGTTTTATTTGCTGGATGACGCTTCGAGCAGAAACTATTGTCCATATTCATATCACGGTAATCACAAGACTCAAACTTCCTTTGTGATCAGCTTGATACTTCATCTAGTAAATAATACTGTTTCACTGTGTACTATATCAAATAAACAATCTAATACGGATCTGGGACAGTCATCAGAGTAGGCATAAAGCAAGGTGTATTAAGATTCGTTACTGGAAACCTCTTCAGGCTGTAGTGTTACAAGGCTGTAGAACATAGTTGTTACAAGAGGATAACACATCATAAAGCCGAATCTTTGATATTTGGGGTTGCTCTTTTCATCACTCATTTATAGAGTAAACTCTGAAGATGAAATTTATGAATAGGTAAGATTTAGTGCAACTGAAGCTAATTATTGGAAAAGGATGTATACCATGGACTGAAATGAAACTATGAAATATGTTACGAATAACTTAATATTTCCACTTTTAACATCTATTATAAGTAGTTTGTATGATGAATCCACATCAGTTGGCATACCATCGAAGGTAGACTTTAAAAAAAGTATTAAGTAGTTTTTCGAAAATGACAGCTATTTATAAGTTCACTACATGTTTATCTGATCCGTATGCTACAGCGTTTTTCAGCGACGTTTTGTAAGCGTCAAAAAACAGGTTTAAGTTTCATCCTTGTACACCCAATCATCTATCTACTATTCAATTAATTTTGATGCTGATTTTAGGGTTGTTTACGGAATTTATTAAAATTCTTAAAGATGTCTTGAATCCCAACTACTCAAAGCTATCAAACGTTAATCAACCAAGAATTAAGGTGTGACATTTGTTGATTGTATTTTTGTTTGCGTGTTTTGTTTCTTTTACAAGTTATCGTTCCATCATGTTTTATATTTTAACTAGTTCCTGGGCTATTTCATAGTTGTCCCTTCTGGTACTTTCAATTTTTGAGCTCACATTCACTCCAGTAAACACATTCACATTGCACGCTGTGTTAACTAATGTAGCTCCGTATTACATTGCTGATTTGATATAGCCAGCGCATAGTGAAACAGTATTATTTAGTGTTTGACGTTTTCAGCAGAATTTGTTGCTTACGATCACATGATGTGATTATGAGAAACTAGTACTCCTGAGAACATCATATAGTAAATGATATTATATTATTTTGTACTGCCTATATCAAATAAATGATATAAAGTGGAATTATGCTGTACCAAAGTACCCAAATTTTATTCTTGCATGAACCAATTTGTCTGCCTATTCCTTAGCGCTTAAAACTTATCGAAGTCTGTTGATTCACTTTTACAATGTGTCCATTCAAATTTGATGACGCATTGCTGGTTTATCAGTCTCACAATAATTGCTCACTTGTGTACGTTCTGTTTTCTTTACATAACTCCGTTTCGTTATTTTTTTGGTTTGAGACTCTAACAAACTCAAAACCTGGTGAATCAGAGCTTCCTATGAGATAACTTATTCCCAGACTCAGCAGTCTGCTACAGAAACTGACATATTGACAAATTCCCCGCAGGAAATCACCTGCAATATGATATATTCTAACAGTGTATTCTAGGATGCAGATTTCCTCTCATTCGGTATTTTTCAACTGAAAGCATCCCAGTAAATCAGTGAATAATCACCTACACTTCCCAAATAAATACTACTTGCATTTATTGAATATTATGGTGGCAGGGAAATTCATCATTTTATCTGGTTGGACAGTGAGGTACACGTAGTCTTATTCAGTTATTTGCATAGCGTACAATCTTGCTGAAGATACCTTTGATAAATTTGATCCAAAACGACAAACGAAAAGTTGTATGTTCAGATCACTGTGATTTGAATGGCAGAAGTGAATTCTGATAAGTTTACGTAACAACCTTTCTCAAGCGACTATGCATACATTTACTCTTGTGTATCAAGTTGTTAGTGTTGAACATTCAATGCATGCTGGTGCACAGATATGCGCACTCATATTCTATGCTCTTAACATACATGCAAAATACACAAACATGAATACATCTACTGAAATGAAACATCATATAAATACAAGTCTATAGGTACACACTAACACTCATGTGATTAATAGTCTATACGGTGAATTTCTGAATTCACTTCACGTATATAAGAACTGGACTTGATAATAAATTCACTTGATTACTGAATCATTCAGTCAGTTGAAAACCTCACTTAATATCTTCTACACTTTATCATCTAATCACTATAAACTTATCTAATGGCTGTAGAGTCACTGACTCAAGAACAATGGGACGATTTGTTCCAGAATTTCGATTCTGTACGAGAGTCGAATAATGTTGCATGGGGAGATATTAAACGAGCTTTGGAGATTGTTGGTGTTACTGTTGCCGGTCATGAAATAAGAGATCTAGTTGGACAACCACGTAACTGGCTCAGTCTAAATGAATTCAATGATCTTTACATAAGAGCTAAAGATATGAAGGATACGACAAAAGCTATCCGTAAAGCTTTACTCCTGAAACACGCTGAAGATGTCAAGGTAAGTGGTGATTAGTTGACATTTCATTGTTCATATATTCAAACTGCTGCTATATATAATTTCTTGATATTAAGATAAAGCCTTCCCATATCCTTGAAGTACAGTTCACCTTTGAGCAAAGAATATAAACTGCATATGACCATGAATTCGGCAACGAGTGTAACGACATTCAAATTTCGGTTTGCTTTACTAACACATGACAGAGTATAGATTGGTTTGGGTGTATAAACTCAGTGTACTGTAGCAAGCTATCTCAAGGTAGAATGATTACTAGCCGTAGGTTAGTAATAACCTATTCTTTTCCCTTAACAAAAAACTTTAACAATGAACCATCGTATCTGAAAGGAGGTTTAAACAGGTATTGAACTGAAACGAGTCTGGTGTAATAAATTTCGAGAAAGAGATAGCGTGGTTGTTGAAAGAAAGCATTGTAGTTAGTTTCACATGACATTTTTCAGATAATCTTCGTCTTCTAATAGCGTTGTCGATAAACGAAAACGTTTGATTTCTTTATCTATGTATTTATTAATAAATCAGCTAATGATCTTCATCATAATACGAAAAGTGATTTTCAAGTGATTTTGGACAGCTAAGCGGCTTTTGATTTTATCGAAGTTGAGATTCTATATCAAAAGAGGTGACTAGAATTAGTCTCTTTACATTTGTTCCACCTAAATCAAATGAATGACGGGGCATTATTACTCAGCAAAAGACAAAGTGTTATATTCAGTAGGAGGTAGCATGAAACTGTTGTTCTTTGGAAAAGGCGCCAATAGGTATAAGTTTAAAACTTGTGTAATAGGTTGGCTGTTGATGCAATTAAACAAATAATCACTTACCAGAAAATACAGGTTTGAGACATGATGTTTGAGATATTACACACGTGTCAGTCGTACTGAATAGTATTCTATAGACTGATTCTTATGTCATGTAGTTGACATGAGCTGGCGATTAAAATAAATTTATTGACTCATTCCATCTCTTGTAAATTCCACTAAACATCTTCGTTGCTATTGTCATCATCAGTTTACAGAAAGAAATATTTTTGTTGCTTATCTAAATCCTATTGCTTGTATTAACGGGCACAGAAAAGGTGTGACTTGAAGATGTTATTCTTGTTAACCAGGATTACATCTAAGGAAATAACCCAATCTCAACTTCAACATTATGAGCTGTGTATTTTCCCTAGGTTCTGCTTAAGCACCTCATGACATGAAGACAAATCTTGTCTTTGCCTTTGGACGAAATTGATTTCATTTCTCTTGTTAAGTATAGTTTAGTGTTTATGCTTACTTACCTACCTGGAGGATATGATTTATTAACCTTTGATTACTGCTGATCATCTTGGAGAAAGAAATGACATCAGTATCACTCAAACACTCCACTGTAAAATGTAATTAATGAAGATTTTAGTCTGTAAATAGACAATTGGGGAGCAGTCAACCCATGAACACTTTGAGCATATATAGGGATTAATAGGGGTTCCGTATCAAAGTATTAGCTGTCTTGAAGTTAGGGTAAGATAGTTATTCGTGTATATCCATAGTCTTCGTGATTTTAGTCACATTCGTAGACTATTGTTTGTCGTCGCCCATCTATCTTCAAAATACATTTCGTCATATCTCCTATTTTCATGTAGCATACAGAACAGATTTCTGTTGTCAGATTGAAGGAAGTTTTATGCTCGTTTACTGGTAACGAATATTTTCAGTTTTACTACGTTATGTATCATTATGGTCAGATGACTTAGAAACCTCATATGCATTGAATTTGTTTCCTCAAAGAGTTGAATTAATGAAATTGTCATAGTTCGCACTGCAAATGAAGCTCAATTTGTGATTATATATACCTGGAGAGGAACAGGATTTTCCATTAGATGAATAAACAGAGACTCCACCACTGAGAGTTTGGGCATGTTGCCTGATGAATTAACAGCAAACATAGTAAATTAAACATTGTTGACACAAGTAAACGAACGTCCTACATACACTGAATGACAAGACGAAACATCATGCTAAAGAATATCATTATTATCTAGTCTGTGTTTCTGGTTTAACAGCCACGTGAAAGGATGCTCATACATATATATTGAAAATATGCTGCTGGTGACACCTTTCTTCTTACTCCCACAAGAACAAGTAGACTGGTATGAACACAGTTATTTTCTCATTGGTGAAACTTCATCCTTGACTTTTCAATGGACTGAATCATAAGTCAACGCGGCGAGATGTAAGCATCTAGGAAGTATGTTTTTCAAGTAATCTTTTTTTAAGGAAAACTTAGAAAAGTTCGTTCACAATACTGCCTTTGAATCTGAGGATAAAAATGGATATTGCCACAGTTCTGTTAATTATGCAAAGGAAATGCAGACTACCTTTTTCCACATTCTCACTAACCAATGATTTTTGATACCAATTTGCAATACCAGTTCTCCGGAAAAAAACGTCAGTCCTGAGCGGAAGTTAAACTTCATTTCTTAAATGCAAGGAGGTACAGTTATTATTTTAGCGATATGTCAAGGTAACTGAGTGAGAGTAAGCTTCATTGGTACCTAAAATTTTTGTTCTAAAAAAACAATGTGAAATGTTCACATACAGAGGCTAATGGTTTTCCGTGAATCTGAAGTCGATTATGTGCAAACGGTAATTATATCTGTTTACTCAACTAAGTTGTATGAGGATATATTGATGAATCGTTTCAAACATAAACGTATTCTCTGAAGTGATAATCTTATGAATATTCATAATTGTTTGATCTTCATCAAGATTATGTAAAATGCAAACTGAGAATTAACAAATATATTTCATTTATAATCCGTCTATCCAATGCACAACATATTCAACTCTATCATGTCAAATTTTCATCTCTAAGTCGATAAACTGGTTTACAAGTAACTGCTAAAAGGCAACCATACTGATAGACTATATGTGTTAGAAAGTTTTCTAACCAAAAGCTAATTTTATGTCTATCATCTGAATGGTTTGTTTCTGTGTTCCACGATGTGGATGTCAGTGTAGTACAGCCGAATGTGTTTCGACATTCGAGGGTGTGAATGTATCTAGAAAAAAACTCCAGATCATAGCAGTGAACTATTTTCATTGCCTAGTGATGATCCTTCAAAATACAGTTAAATTGTAGACCACGCTGAGATACAGAACAAGCAGTCTGATTGCTGTAGAGCTTTATCTTCGGTAACCTATATAAAAAATCTGTGAGAAGTGTTCATGATTGAACGGTAATGGGGATGACTGAATCCCAGCAACGTCATTATTAACCTTAGCTACCATAATCTGACTGATGAATTCAAATACTTGATTGATGATGACAGCTTTACTTGTATCACCTCAGCAAATACCAATCGCCTGACAAAAGCTTTTCGTCACCATTCAATCAAATCACAGTTACACACGGCAGCGTTTAAGTGTTTGACTAGGAAAGCTTATAATTTCAATTCTCTTCCTAGCATTATTTTGTCACGTGTTCATGTTTGGTTTTCCATTCCTTTTTTATAGTCATTTACTGTTGGCAAAAATGACAACGACACTAGACATTCAGTTAGTAAAGCAGAAGAAAGAGGCTTTACTTTGTGGATAAATAAACGTTTGGGTCATGATACTGATTTACAAAATGAAATTCTACCCATTGATCCATCAATTGATGGCCAGCTATATCAAAGATGCAAAAATGGTATACTGTTGTGTAAACTTGTGAATATCGCTAGTCCGGATACAATTGATGAAAGAAGTATTAACAGAGGACCTGCTTTGAAAAATGTTTTCAACGTAAGTGTTTCAAGAAACTTTGCGCAAACACGTCTTGGTTGAGTTTTATTTATAGTGAAATAGATATTTATAAATTTTAGTTTACTTGATTAATATTTGTAATCTTTCACCTTCACTCTGAGGTTTTGCTATAGCTAACTGTAACTCCAGCCCTAAAAAAGTGTTTTAAGCTTAGAAGTGGGTGAGTCATTTCACACAAATTTAGTTCTCGAGAAAACCAGTTGTCATTTTTAGGTAGACCTTTTGTTTATACATCAGATTTTTTTTATTTGACTTTTAAGTCTGTCTGAGATAGCCTTAGTTTGCTAGACTTGTATCAATACTTAGTGATGGTTAAAGGTGAAATGAAAATCTGGACCATGCCAGGGTGCGAATCCTGTCACTGCCCAGACTTTCATTTCATATGAATGGAATATGGCAGGCGGTGATGCAGTGTTATTTACTTGATGGTGTTTCCGGCATAAATTATTACCTACATAATTTCATCAGCTTGATTACTCAACTTTCGACATTTGATTTTTATAAACCCATCACCTAGTATATTTTGTTCTTAGTGGTAATAAGATTTTTCAAACCTCCGGTACAGGTGTTGCCACATTCCTGTTACATGGGTTGGGTGATGATTTGATGAACAAAGACTAGGTAACCAATCTTTCTATACCTAACTGTATTTGATTTAAGTAAAGTAGTCTTATCCTATCCTGACACACAATCATACCCTTTGGTGAGGTATGATTCTGAGCAATTATTTATTCTCTAAACGTCACTAGTCAAATACTCTATCACTGTATCTTATATGAAATAAAAGAATCTAATACAGAATTATATTCCATCAGAGTACTGAAGTTTTACACTTATATTAAGATACTTTTGCTTTACTAGTGAAATAGAAACTGTGTAAGTATGGATCCATTTTCAAATAAAATGACCCATAGTTTTAGTTCTACACTGGTCGTAAAGGGAATGCATTGCATCCAACAATAAATTGTCGTGCAGGATTATGCCTAGTTTCTTTGTCAAAGTTAGGGAGAAATGCATGCCTAACAGTTACCAACTGAGAGATAGGAAACGAGTGAATGGAATACGGAGCTGAAGCAACTACTCAGGAAATAATAAATACCATTGAAAATGGTTATAATCGTGTTCTGGCCTTCCAAAAACTATGTTCATCGACTCTTTTTTGTGGCGACGAGTAACACTTAAAATGTTAGTATCATTTTCTCAGTCATATAGGTTAACCGTATGTGAGATGACTGATTAATGCTAAGTTCAGCTATATTTATTGTGAATACAACCATTCATTTTGTGATCAAAAATGTTAATTCCGTAAGTTACAACTCTCTATCCAGTATGTTTTCAACCACCAGGATGCCTTTACAGCAAATCTTGTGTTCTTTTCACAAGTAGAAGTTTTCGTGATCCATTCCTACTGGTACCAAGAATATATATATACAACGAACAAAATATTGAATAAGAAACCATTTGGAACCACAGTTTCCGGGCTCATTTGATCCAATCAGTTTTAGTAATTCAATTTGAGGGTGAAACGTCTGTTCTTTGGAGGTAAAAATGTTCTGGTTATCGTATTAAATGAACGAGCTTAGTTTTGCATTGCAATGAATTGGCTAACTGTTTTAAAGCATACTTTACTTTTGGCACTAATGATCAATAAGTTGATTATGCGCTACAGAATAGGATTTATCAAGAGTCTTATCGCTATATTGAAACCTGTTTTATGTATAGTACTTCCAAGAATTTCACACTCCATTTTATATACGCCTTTTAGTTAAATAGGGTTAACCTTCGCATAAGAAAGAAATGTCGGACTTTTCATCACAGCTGATTCTGTCAGTGTGCATTAAACAGATTCTGTCTTCAGTGTCTTTCGTCACAATCGTTTCATAACTTCTAATTCTGCATTTCCTAATCTACCTATAAAAGCATTTAGGGATTACTATGTCTGAAGGGAATAATCAGTGCTTACCCCTATATCTGCATGCTTGGAAAGTTCTGTAACCTATGATGAGGAAACACTACTTATCTATTATAAAGGCTTATCTAAGGCTTTGTATCAACTACTAGATTTCAGTTAAAATCTATGCACCGGTGCCTTGTAACAATAAACTCAGTTATTTATCTTAACATATCGATTTGAATTTGTTGTAAACAGACGAATTTGTTGATTGAAAGTGATTTACTAAAATGAAAAAACTGATAGACGATCACCACTGTTCTAAATAATATTGATTTTATTCAGCATTGTGCCGCCAATGTAAAGCATCAGTCTATCAAAGTGGTTTTGTTTATGTTACATATGTATATGAATTATCTTAGTTCTGCTCTACCTCTAGGCTTAGTCAATATCTGAATGGAGATTAGAAAAAACAACGCTCAGTGAAATATGAGTGATTAGCATATCGACTACTTAGCCAATACATTGTATTCAAATGACAATACACTAGTGATCGCTTCTATTTTTAATCGAGGCAAGTAGTTACATCTCTCCTTGTCCAGATTGCATCGATATTTTTAAGGTGACTAGAAGTCGGTGATAATGCCCGAAAAGGTATGTTAATACGGGTACATAAGAACCACTAAGGTAAACCAATAGCTTCAAATAGACTTATGGAAGTGAAGGAATCATCTCTGTCCGGCCTCAACTGGAGAATCACTGAAAATTCTGGACCACTAGATACCTTTTTCATCCCACTTTACAGCCCCTTCGAGGTGTGCACTCACGACCCCCATGGGATTTAGATCATCAGACATCAAGGCGTGTGAGTAACTCAACTGCTATCCATCACTTACTAACCAATTTCTTCGACATGAGTTTGTCGAAAGTTCCATTGACAAGTCGTAACCCGTACTGTCAACCATTGATACTAGATGGTGGTCACGCTCCATAGAGAAAAGACAAGTGAGAAAATGTTAACCACTGAATTCTGACCCAGCAGCTAGATGCCAAGGTGTTCGCTACGAGTTCTCTTGAGCTGAAGAGTCACATGCTTGGCCAAAACGGCTGTCTATTGCACATAATTTTTCGATTTTTCTCCAACTGATTTTAATCTGTAGTCCAAACTACTTTTTAAATTTTTACGCATTAAGAAGTTGCTGTCCGATACAACATGCAATGAAGTCAATGCCTGAAGCTTCGTAAATTTTCACAGGAAAACAAGATAAATGGGATACATTTATTAACTTTCCAAGTGAAGTATGTCTGTTGAACTTGTCGTGTTGTAGGCAATCAACAACATACTTTGATGATAATGTATAATGAAAAATGCAAAATAAGAATTTCAGAAACTTATAGTCAACTTTAAAGCTCGTCTCATCAGATTTAAAGACAGCTTGCTAGTACTATTGGCCTCAGAGTTGCTGAAATGTATTACGAACCTTCAGTAAGGCCAAATCACATTAATTCTAGAGATAAACGGCTATTAAACACGTTCTATCTTTATTAATAAAAAGTGTTATGAAGCTCCGTTTGGGAGGCTTTGGAACCTGAAAAGTTAATTGAACTTGCCGTACGCATACGCGTGTGTACATAAATAAAAAGATGTATCAGTCTGACCATGTGAAATAGTAATGGTTTAGAAAACTTGTATTATTGATAGTGAAAGATGATTGAAGATGAAACGAAAATCAAGGTCACAAGCGTCTGGCCCCGACCTTCAAATACCAAACTTCCCTACATATTTTGTTTTATCATGAGTGATTGTGCTTAATTTTACAGTGTAATAGTCGAAATTAATCATCGAATATTCCAATACTTTGCGTGATAACGCCAGGTGGGATCAGTAAGTGCTGTCCTATTCACCTCTAAACAATGAACAACTGAAGGAATTGGGTGCAGGTAACTAACACAGTATTCACTGGTTTAACATTATGTCAGTCATAGCGATGGACAATATGATGTTTGTAATCCGTGTTGTCACGTAATCAAAAATTATGATTCATTTGACATGTAGTCACAGAAATTACCGAAATAATTTTTCAGTAGTTGATAGAAAGGTGGACAGAGTACTTGCATGTTTCTTTGATTGGTTGATTGATATTTCTCCTTCTGGAGCCATCCATTGTATACTTTCAATAAAGCCATCAGTGACCCTAAAACAATTTGAAATGACTCATATTTCCAAACTGGTCATCAGAAAGTTATAAAACACACTGTAGAGAGAATTGTGGAGAAACCGTATGATTATATTGACTAGCCACTGGACATTAACCAGTGTTATGTTATCTGTTCGCAATGTTGGCTAAAATCCTTCAGGTAAGTGTTTAATATGGTCAGAAAACTGAGGAACTTATCAACACAGCTCAATTTTAGTGCTGTTAGGTCCGAATTTCCCAGAGGTAAGTTTTCCCAGTGTTTCACTGCACCTTGCTGACGACTGCGTGACACCATAGAACTTTGGTTCATACCGACAGCTACTAAGCGCACAGCAAGCCGCCTAAGTAATCAGCGAACATGCTTTGAAGGTATTGGGAGAACATGGAAAATCCTATATATAATGGCACAACTATAAATAAGTTTGTGTTAGGTACCCGGTAATTTTTACTGTCTCATATGCACCGCCGGGGAATGATTGAGAGCCTACTTACATTTGTAGTGTTTCCTTGGTTCCTTATCGATAGTTGATATAAGCCCAGAAAAAATAATTGCAACAGGAAAGAAAACTGGGAGTGACAAATGAACATGGTATTATGAAGCTGAAAGCTGTATTATTAATGCATTTTCCCGAAAAACGACGGTCGGAATCTACATATGCCTGAACTAGAAAAGTGGATGAATAGTCTGATACAACTCCTAATAATAAACCAAGGTTTTTGCTACAACTAACAGAGAAGTTTAAACTTATCATTGATGTGTTAACGAATTCATGTTTGACTTCTGAATTTTTCTTGTTTACTAAAGTTAGTCATGTAACCTAAATGGAGTAATATGATAGTCAAGTGGCAAAGTAAACATGAATCATGACAAAAGTAGTAACAGAGATTGT